CTTACTTGCGTTCACTTTCATTTTCCTTTCTTTTAATGGTTTGTTCATTAATGTAACCTTCATTTCAACTCGGCTGCCGACGACGCAAATATGATCTGATCATCGGCGTACTAAAAGCATTATTTGACGATTAACTCACCTATTCTTAACCCGCTCTCTTCAACTTTTAAATTTTCCAAGCAACTTTTCATAAATAGGTTGAACAACAAGGGGGCCCTATTTGATACCTTTATGGATGCCAAACCAGTCTGAGTAGACCCCGGTCATCCTAACATAAGCACCTAGTTCCTATAAGAGACTTTAATGCCTGTATTAACCCAGCGCTCGACTCAAATGAGTTCAGTATTTGCCGTAACTCATCCCTGTCCACTGTGTCATAAGCCTTTTCCAAGTCCATGAAGGCAAAAAAACTATTTGGTATTTGGTCAAAAACTTCTTCGCGATCATGCGCATGGAAAAGACTTGATCCCCCATTTACTTTCTAAATCCAAGTTGCATGCATCCTGCTTTCAAGCTTTTCGTTGCTTTCAATATATCATCTACACTCATCTCCCTATCCCTATCCTCTTCTTTCGGAATTTCTATTTCATTTAATTCAAACGTCTCCTCACCCATTAACACGCTTTCAAAGTTTCCCCTAACGGTTCTTACAAGTATCCACAACATTTTAATATTTATTTATCCGTTATTCTTCTATCAATCTTATCCGTTCTTTCCTGCGTTTTCCTTTCAAGACTTTCACCATAGAAGACATTCAGAAAAAAATTGTTAATCACTTAAACTAAAGGTAACATCGAATTTCCCAAAACTATGTCGATTGTTGTAAGCATATTCACCTCTCAACGCTTGAAAAGCGTCGAATAATATATGACATGACGTTCGTACATAGCCTTTGTAATGGGCACTTCAACTGTCCGGAATTAGTATCCGAAATGTTGTATTTAAACTGTCCTAGAACCAGAACACGACAAACAAAGCTTTCAAAACTCCAACACTGTTACATTTTACGCATACTTATTTAAATATATCAACATAGAAAAAGTTTATATCGATAGTTCCCCTAATCAAAAAACACTAACATACGCAAAATGTACTCGAACAAATAAAATTAGCTGAACACTTCAGTCAGAGCAACAAGTCTTTTTGAGGTTCCGTAATAAATAATAATAGTGCTGCGAAGAGATGTTGCATCTCTCTGCTTATTTTATCGTATCTATCACGGGGAGTGCTCTGAGGAATTTTTCGGATTAATCACTACGTGGCAAACCTCCTGATACCATCCACACCATCTGGATGCTCGGTGGCCACCACTGTACGTTTCACTAGAAGTTTTCTTCCGCGTATGACCTCTCTATGAAATAGTTTACCACCGGCGATTTTTCCGGACCGATACGACCTGAGAACCTTCAAGAAAGGATTTCACTCCTTTATAAAGGGCCGGCAACGCACTTGCGATTCCTCTGGTGTTGCGAATGTTCATGAGCGGCGATAGTCACTTAACGTCAGGTGAACCGTATGCTCGTTTGCCCCCTCTTCTATATAAAAAAACAACGAGAAACCCTTGTAGTAACACTAATTCTGTCCGTCTGTCCGTGGTTTGGCTATTATATATAGAGACTATTGGTATTTTAAATAGCTGTAATTTTGTGAACGTGAACACCAGAAATAAAAAGGGCTCTTATTACCAAAACAAAACTTGGTGGAAGTGGGTTGTCTCAAAAACAACCCCTAATGAATAATACTTACGGCATCTATTAACAGTAATAATAATATAATAATAATAATAAAACGTTTATTTCAGATTAAAAAATCCATACAAATTTGTTAGTAAATTTCTTAAAAGCTATCTTAGTAAATTAAATTAAATCAAATTAAATAACTTACAATTTAAAAATATTAATTAAGATACTTAAGTGTCCCACCCATATGCATTTGAGTCCAATGCCCTTGAATGGAACAATCAAGCCTATCTTTAACTACCTTCAGGACGCCGTTTGAGCTTCCCCGCAATTTGCGCCATCTGGACGATATTCGCTTCCGTATGATGCCATGAAAATCATCAACACCCGCTTCAATAAACATGCCAGCTGCACTGCAGAACACGGGAAGGCCCATCAAGATCCTGAAGGCATTATTATATTGGACGCGCAGTGCATTATAGGCCCTTTGCGTATAGCTATACCACAGGCTGCAGGTGTAAAAGGTTTGGCAGTAAGCCTTGAAAAGAGTAATTTTGACTTCTCTAGTACACCTAGCAAACCTGCGGGCAACCATATTGCATCGAACCGCCAATGCCCTCCGCTCCCTCTCTATATCACAGTTGTCTGTGAGATTCTCTGTAACAATGTGTCCTAAATATTTAAACTGCGACACCCTACTTAATGGCTCCCCAAGGAGCTTGACTGGAGGCACAACCTGGGGTTTTTTAGCACCAACTTGAAATAACATTAACTCAATCTTTTTGGTATTATAGAGAAGACCGTGTTTAGCAGCGTATACTTCACAGACGGCCAACAGCTTACGCAATGCGCTCACCGATGGACTCAGCAACACCATGTCATCAGCATAGCTAATACTATTAACCATTTGTCCGTCAATGGAACAGCCTATTCTGGTGCTACTGAGTGCACCAATGAGCCCGTCAACGTAAATACTGAACAGCAAAGGCGAGGATAACCCCCCCCCCCCGCCTCACCCCGCATTCCAAAATATATTCGTCAGATAGCGCACCAGACCATTTGACCTGGTTAACTTGATGGCCATACCAATATTTCAAAGTGGTGATTAATTCATTTGGAACAGCTATGTCACGTAATTTTGACCAAAGCAGATCATAGTCAACCAGGTCAAATACCTTTGAGAGATACAGAAACGCAGCATACACTGGCGTTTGTGTCTGGGTGTAGTATTTGAAAATAATGTTGTAATATTGGTAAAGTATTACATACTAATTTGCGATGTTTACTAGGCAATTCAAATTGGGATGAATCAAAATGCATCGAATAAATAGTACTGCGAGTACCCAACCCCTTTTTCGATTGCACAATTGTGTCTACCTCGTTTTTAAGTCAGGGTCTTTTGGAAATCTGTAAAAGTTAAACAATTATGATAAGCCATACTAATATTATAAATGCGAATTCGTGCCTGTAATATACTCGTAGTTTTTCTGGATAAAACTTAATGTTAGGGATAAAATCCTAATGCTTAAACCAATGTTACAGGTATACAGTATGAATATACATATATATATATATATATATATATATATATATATATATATATATATATATATATATATGGTACGTTGTTTGTCCGCAATGGACTTCTAAACTACTTAACCGAATTTTAATTAAATTTGCACACCATGTACAGTTTGGCTCAACTTGAGAAATAGGATAGTATTTTTGCCCATGAGTGATCCACAATTTTTTGCCAAAGTAAGGATATTTAGTAGGACATGACAAAGGGTCGTCGTCGTCGTCATCGTCGGACATGAGAAAGTCAAAAAAAATCGATATCGATGCGCAATCATATTACATATAAATTTTGGAAAAACCTAAAAGTTAACCTTACAGAGGTCGGGTGTATTATAATATTAATCCACTTTTAAATAATATAAAATTTCAGAAAAGTCACTTAAATTAATCCTTTGACAAGTCAAGTATTAAAAGTTGAAAAGTAGGAGGACTTGCTCAGCACATTATTTTTTTTTTAAATGATAACTTGCTGGTCGAAGAGTGTACTAACGAATAGAGGAAACACTAGCGATCACATTATTATACACAGCAAACAAAAAGTTGGTGATCTCACTTTGGAGTAGTGTGCCATTATCATATAATAATATGTTCTTTCTTTCATTATTATTATTTGAATAAAAAGGGAGTTATAAATGTTTTTTTTATTTAATATGTTACCTTGTTTTATTTAAAACAGAGTATTTATTAGTTAATGATGATATTTTACGGCTTACTTTTTATTTTAGATTGGACTACATTTGAAATCCATGTTTTTATAACGCACGACAATTGCAATGTTAAGATATAGTCTTGTTACACTTATTTAGCTTTCATGTTATTCGTTTATTCGAATTTTGAGCTTATCTTTACGCTTTGTTAGTTGAAATTACTATACAAAAAAAAGTAATATTGTAAGAGTGCGTTTTAAGTGAGCATACCTTTTACCGGTCGATATGACGCTGAGTACACTCACGTCTAACTTGAGGGTTCGTCAGTTGATTCTCGTCGTCTATTGGGTCCGCACGTATCATTCGGCTACCGTACACTTGAAAGCAATTTTAGTAACAACTTTTTAATTGGCTAGATTATTTTTGTTCGTTTTTCTATACATCTTGTTTTTAATTGTTTTTGTTATTTCTTCTTTTTAAATATTTTCTTGTTATAATGGAGTGTTCAGATTTTGGTCTAAATATGCAGAGAAGAAAAAAGTCCGTGTTAAATAGACAATCCCGACAAATGGTCTATTCAGTTTTTTGTAACATGAGAAAATTAGGTATTGTGAAAAACATGGTAGACCTTTATAAATAGACTGCTGAGGCTACTGTCTCAGTATCGATCGTCGAGATCGGTTTTGGTAGTGGATAATGCATCCTACCACAACAAACAGTACGGTCTTGCACTTGAAGTTGGAGATGCTGGATTGGTTGAAAGAAAAGGGTATGTATAACAATAATTATATAATCTTTATTGGGCACACAAAAAATATTGCTGAGTAAAATAAAATTAACAATGACGGTTTATACAATTGGCGGCCTTATCGCACTATGACAATCTCTTACAGGTATACAGCATGAAGAAACAATATTTAAGCCCGAACTGTATAATCTAATTAAAATGAAATAAAGACAAATACAAAAAATTCAACATGGATAAAATTATGGCTTAACACGGTCACGATGTCTTGAGATTACCTCCATACTATCCAGATCTCAATCCAATTGAGTTGGCGTGGGCTGCCATAAAAGGTTATGTTGGCAGCAAAATATGAACTGGAACGTTATCAGCATAACAAACCTTATTAAGGAAAAAGTTGATTTAATGAGAGCTAGTGAATGGGCAAAATTAGGCGATAAAGTGATTGATATAGAGAAGAAGTATATGAAAAACGACCACATCATTGACCAAATAACGGAGGAGTTTATCGCGCAAGTGGACAATAGTGACTCTGAGTTTAGTTCGGAGGATGAAGATGATGACGAAGATTACGCTGATGATTGTGATGATGATAAACTGGAAGATGAAGGGGCCTCTACTAGCACCAGATTTTATGGAAGGCATATCACCTCTTAATTCCTCTTATTAAAATATTTAATTCTAACCAAATGTAAATTGTTCTATTGAGATTTACAGACGCAGGTATACAATAAATACTATAAAGTAGATAATAAAATAACGGTCATGAATATCTACTTACCTTACTGTATCAAAGTAAAATTTTATGTTTTCAAGTAAACATTTTCGTAAAATTCGGTAAAAATATTCAATTACGAATTGAAATAATAAAGGTACCAAATAATTTTGTCCGACGGTGTACCAACGCTGGCTCAACCCCCATCACAATTCTGTGCTCACGACTCGTGCCGGCAACTATACAAACTAATCTCATAAGGAGTGCGTTTGTACTGGCGTGTTCAAATTTAAACCTAATTTGTAGAAATTGTTTAAAAAAATAAATAGTCTCGTGAGCAGTGCGGTTGTCATATTGCGATTTTTATGAAATATTAGTAATGTTACGGCCCTGAGTTACCCCGACAAAGGTCGATTGAGCTAGGGACCATCAGTAACCCAATTCGACGAGTAACTAGAGGGTCGGGCCCAAAAATGGCCTATGGATAATTAAATTATAAAGGCTAGATACGCAAACACGAAACTTACCGAATTCCGGAAGTAGGGTCTACCACAGGGTGGCGTCAGGGGCAAGTAAATGGTAGTGTGTGTAGTGTAGGAAGGTGTGCAATGTAACCTGACGTCACCGATACAATCAGATAGCAGCACCACGTGCGTTGACCGCTCCACAAGACGCTCACCGCTATCGGAACTCAAGTCCAGCGTCACTTAGCACGAACTATAATCGCGCGCGATTTACACCCGGATCACAAAGTTCAGCGCTCCACACGAAAGCAAAATTCCTTCGTACACTTTAACTAATTTATTTTAACTTTAATTAGCTACACGAGCCACTCATCGGCACAAATTAATAGCAATCGAAGTTAAATTAGTCAATCAAAATGCAAAAAGCCTCGTTGTCACGTATATTAACGACGAAATACAACTACATGGAGGCCGTCGATATTCGACGCAACAACTATTATATAACGCCCGACGTCTAACCAGCACGGCCGTAACGCCACAAAGATTCCTGCAGACTGCGCTCGCTGGTAGCACCGTACGCGCATAGCGAGCGCCCCCTTCCCGCGCAACGCTAACCGTTCCCCGCTCGGGACTAGCACCTTGCAATTGTGCGTAAACAGTAGTATTTTATAATAGTACTCGATTACCTAATCGGTAAAGTTTTCAATTATTAATTATGATGGTATTTTAAATTATTTTAATGTAAAAAGTATGTATCACAATAAAAATACTTACCTACGTATAGAATGTGACTCCATCTTTTTGTAAATTTTAAGTATCTGACTTCTTTATGCATACGTTAAACCGAACGGATCGGTATTTTTTAAAGAGCACCTACTTCGATGGAAACGATTCTTGTAATGATAAAATTGATTCCGTAAAGAGTTTTTATAAATACACAAAATATTTAAATCCAATACCTTGGCAGAGGGGAATAATCATGCGAGGCGAGTCCATTGGATTAAATGGTCTAAGGTTAAAGCAGAATGATTTATACAAAAAAAAATCCTTATTTACTCTAAGATACAGATGTATATTTAAGATAGTTAAAAGAACCGTAAAGAGCTGTGGATTTTGTTAAACGAAGTAATATAAAAAATTTAATAATAAAAATTTCTCTCAGACCCTGTTCGCTGTTTCCGTGAACTTTGCTAAGCTGCATTTGGAAATCACAGTATCCGACAATGCTAATAACAAGGTTGGTTAAATCAACGAATATACAGGATAGATGGCTTTAAATAAAACTAGTTTTTACGGATTTTATCGCTTTATAACCTATTTTATATATGACCGACGTTTCCAGCACTTTAGAGTACCCATAGTCACGATTGGAGACCGAGGTGTATGACGTCCTAATTTCATAGTTAGCCACGGCTACCTCCAGATTTAATTTATTAATTTTTGTTCCGATTTACGCATTATAAACTTAATTATGGTAGTATCTTGAAGATTGCATTGTATGCTTGAGTTGAGATTTAATTTTATTATTCTCACTCATCACTCATCTAAATCATTCCTTTCTTGTGAACCCTGACACTGTCATCCGTAGTTTGTTAGGCTTTCCTCTACTCTTAAATCCAGCCATATTCATAGTAAACATTCTTGTTATATGATTTTCTTTCCTTCGCATAAAATGCCTATACAATGCTAACCTATCACTTTTCAACTTTTCCATCGCTCTGAACAAATACATTGTATCCCTGTTATGCCTCAGGATAAAACTTAAAAAATATTCTGAAGAACTTGCTGCAGATACCTACAATGTGCTTAAGAAACTTCAACTCGGCTCCCATCTAAGTATCCAAGTGTGTCCAAGTGGCTGGTGGCATCACAATGCCTTCAAACTTGTATTAGTGCTACAGCGATACCTGCGTACCTTCTTAACTCAACAACTCACACTTCACCACATTAAAGTTTAATTTCTTGATCGCACCCCACTGCACCTCTCCTATCTTTATCTCGCTGAATTTTCTCACAATCCAAAACATCCAACAACTCCGAGCTAACGACAATAACAGTTTCAAGGCCGTCTATAAACGGAGATATTACTTAACTAATGACTAAAAATAACTGCATATGATCCAGATTTTCTAGATAACATGCACTAAGTTTCAGATTTGTAAGTCGCGTACTCGATGTACCATCGACGTTCACCAAGCTAACCCACGATATCGTTTTTATTTACGGTATGAAAACACTTGTTAGTATTTCTCCAAAAAAATTACGTGTGACTGCAAAATCGCAAATCTGAGTTCTGCGTTTTGAAGAGAAATATAAAGATCACTTTGTTTTCAAGCTTTAAATTAATTTTGGTTTTAACGTTGATGAGATTTCTTATCGTTCTTACAGTATGCGATACTCAATTTACACCATTTAAAATCACATTGATATTATTCTAATGCAAAGAGATTTAAATATTACTACTACTTAATTGTAATAAAATATAATAGTTATAGAAAACTCAAACTTTTTATATTGTGTATAATAAATATTAATTGTAAATACTATTATTAATTATACATATATTTATAGGTAGTTAATTTAGTTGGTTATTATTTGTGTATTCTTTTTCATCAATTTGTAAGTAATAACAAATAAAATCTAAAAATAACTTAAATGTCTTTGTTCCAATGTTTCATTACTAACATTTAGTGCTGTAAAAATGATATACACTTTTATTCTTTTTCAAAGCAAATTGTTGACCTTACATTTTAATACAAAAAAAATTATTTATAAGAAATATGGATATTTAAATATCAATAAAAAGATATGTGGTTAGTTATAAAAATGAGACACATAAATCTTGAAAAGATCATTCCTGTTTTCACTCATGACTGAACTTTAATTTTTTAAAAACATTTCGTTTTCCAAGTAGTTTTTATTTAATTCACAGATTTTTTTAAAAACTATTTATAAAACGTCATACGGGCTCGAAACGTTACTTGGATTTAAAATTGTTTCATTTTAGGTCATAGCAAGTTCCCGAAAGAATAAGAATTTTAGTGGAAATGGTTTTCATATATCCTTTTTATTTCTTAGAATGAAACGTTTCGTGAATATAGGGAGGAACAATTTTTTTTGCAAAGCAAAGAATTGTCGCGTTGTAGGCCAATAAGATTCAGTGCTCTGTAATTATTCCATTGCAGCCAGACGGATTTAAAATATTTCAAAATAAAATATAATATATTTTATGTAGCATATTCTACTCGTATAAAAGCATTCAGTGTGCTTAAACAATATTTTGAGGTCTATTGCGACTTATAATTCGCAAACGCTTTTAGCTTTGAATAATACATATTTACTCGTCTCGGTTCGTTGCATACAATTTGGGTTCAAGGAAAATGTAGTTAATTTTGTGTCAATTATTCCGCTCTGTAGGTTTATTCTGAGAATGTGTGTTAATTATAAAAATATCACAAGCACAAAAAATTGCGATGGAAATAAATGCTTTAATTACTACTGACTATACCTTTGTGAAAAAAATTACGGTAAACTTATGTGATTATGTACAACCAGTTTGTGTTGATAGTTACAACTGAATGAGGAGTGTCAAGGTCGCTTAGTGAGCTCTTGAAAGGACTATTTATGCTCGCAGTATTACTACTTGATAAAATTCCTAGAAAAGTGAATACATCCGCAGTTAAACTTGAGTAACCTGGATAACCTAACGGATCAATAAGCTGAAATGGCAATGGGTCGGCTATATAACTCGGATATTCTACAACCGATTGAAAGTTTTTCGAGTGACAGCCTCGTAGCGGTAAACGAAGTACTTCGGAATTTTGATAGCGCGATTTGGGCTTCGCTGCGTTTCGATAATGTTGCGACAATAGTATGGGGCCACAGAAGTATAGGGCGACCCACCATTCGATGGCATGGTAAGACGTACGGAAAATTTATGACTGACTGTGAAAGAAGTTGATGGTTGATTTTTATCTTAATTCTAACTACAGATTATTAAATTTGCAATGTTTGCAGCCACAATTTTTGCTTCAGGATAATACAATATTCTGTTTTAATGACTATAGTGTCGATAATTCTAAGGCTCTTGAAAACGTTTTTTAAGCTTTATGGATATATCGTCACCTAGTCTGATACATTTGGACAGTAATATATGTAGTATCATGCCACAGGATTATATGTAGTACTAATCACAATAATATGCAGAAACAAAGAGGCATTCACAAAAACATTCGGAGGATATGTAAAAAACTACGTTAAAATATTTTAGATTGTTTACAGGCTTCCCACTACGAAAAATCAATGATTTTCAAAAATCGAGAAGTTATTGGTTTCACGCCAATGTTCGAAATTCGAAGTTTCATCAGATCTCGACGTTTTGAGGTCCTAAGAAGCTATTCTGACTATTCCTAAGAGGATATCACTATGTCTTTTTGTATGTATGTGTAAGTGCGTGCGTGCCTGCGTGCGTACATGCG